AGAGTCTGCTTCCTTAGGTTAAAAAACAAAACAAAACAGAGAAAACGCAAATTGCCATCGTGCTGCTTTCTTCTGTCCGGCTTGGGGCGCTGGGCTGGTTCAGCACAGCGTGGAGAGGGCGTCCCTGAGCTAACCCGACCTGGTCGCCGGGCGCCAAGGCTGGAGGGCGCAGGGTGGCCTTAGGGAGAGCCCGCCGCTCCCACTGAGTCAAGGGATGAAGAGCTGCAGTGAGCCCCCAGGCGACGGCGGCTTTCACCCAAAGGAAGGAGAGGAGGCCGGTGTGGGGGTGGGGGGTCGTGGCTCGTGCCTGTCATTCCAGCGCTCTGAGAGGCTGAGGTGGGAGGATTCCTTGAACTCGGGGTTGAGGCTGTTGTGAACCGTGATGGCGCCACTGCACTCCAGCCTGGGCGACAGAGCAAGGCTCTGACTCTGGAGGAAACGGGGAGTGCCGCCTGACTTCCCTCTGTCCTCCCGCCACCCACAGTCACTGCCCCCGTGGAAGGCAGAGTGTCGGCCTTCTGTGATGGAAGCCACTTCCTCCACGCTGCTCCAGTCTGTAGCCTCCTCCAAGGGAAGGCCGCCCCTGCCTCTTCCCCAGCAGGGCACCACACCCTCCCCATCCCAGTGCTTCGGGGAGCGGCGACTCCCAGGTCCCAGCAGCAGGAGCTGAGCTGAGACTCACCACACAGAAAGGAAGCGCTGGCTTTCTGAGCTGTTGGTGGTGTTGGAAACCCCAGCAGGTCCAGCAGATTCACCCTCCATCACCCCATCCCTGCAGCAGGCCCGAGGGCGGGTGGTTCTGTCACCTCTCCTCGCCCAACAAATCGGAAGTGACCACCAGGGCGCGTCACTCCGGGCTTAGAACCTCTCGGCTGCAGGGGGTTGCAGATGAAACGGTGAGGGCTTGTCCCGGCGTCTTTGGGGCTCCTGGCAGGCCCATAGCCTGGTTCTCCCGTTGTCTGAGATCCAAAGCCCCAGACTTTGCCTTCAGGGCTGTGTCCTCGGGCAGAGGAGGCTGCCTCGGGGCTGGATGTGGGGGGCAGATGGGCCATTCTAGGGTGTCTCTGAGCTCTCTACAGTTCTTGAGGCCTCCAGTACTTCCTGAGATAACCAGCGAGCTGATAGTAATCTGCGGGCAAATTGCAGGGGAAGGGTTGCTGGCACTGTACTTGGGGAGAAGACAGCAGAAGGTGGGGGCGTGTGGTTTTGTGGGATCTGCTGGATCGTCCTTTTCTTCTTAGGGTGACCCTCCTAGTCTTGTGTGTGTGTGTGTGTGTGTGTGTGTGTGTGTGTGTGTGTGTTGCAGACATCAAAGAAGAGATGAGTTGATACCTCTTGCAAACAGCTCACCAGGCTTCTGCCCCGCCCCTTTTTTTTCCCCTAAAGTCTCCCCTGACTTAAAAAAAAAAAAAAAAAACGCCAGGCTTGGTGGCTCATGCCTGTAATATAAACATTTGGGAGGCCAAGGCAGGAGGATTGCTTGAGCCCAGGAGTTCAAGACCAACCTGGGCAACCTGGTAAGACCCCGTCTCTACAAAAAAAAAATAATAATAAGGAAAAAATTGGCCAGGCAAGGCGGTGCACCCTGCAGTCCCAGCTACTCGGGAGGCTGAGGCACGAGAATCACCCGAGCCTGGGGAGGTGGAGGTTGCAGTGAGCCGAGATCGCACCACCACACTCCAGCCTGGGCGACAGAGTGTGGCGCCATCTCCAAAAAATAAAAAATTGGGGGGGAGAAAAAAAGACAAAGTGTGGAAGTTGCCGCCCTGTGAGTAACCAGGCCCATCAGGATTCTGGGGGAGCGGGTGGCGGGGAGGTGCCGAGTGAATGATTTGGGTGCCTGTGCTCCAGGCAGGCAGGACCTCTGGGCAGGTCCTGGCAACCCCAAGGGTCGTGGCCACCCCCCTGCCACTGGCAAGGAGTGAAAGGACACGAGGTCCCAGGGAGCAGGGGCAGTCTGGACTGGGTGGGGACAGATTCGGCGCCAGGGTCACTGGAACCCCACAGCACCCCACAGGGGAGGGCGGGACAGAAGCTGTGGCCTTGCCTGTCACCCCGCCTCACATCAGAGCTCGGCTTCTAGAACAATTCTGTAGACGTGGCAATAGTGCACCTGTCCGGTCCGTTTCTAGGTCCCTCAGCTCCTGCCCCCCGCCAAGAAACCCCCAGACCCAGCCGCCCGCCATCTGACACCCCCTTCACACCCAATGCCCTTTGGACGTATTCCCTCCTGCTCTCCACTGTGGAGGCCTGGGAAGGGTTCTCAGGTGCTCCCAAAGGTGACCACACACCTGGGGACGTCCTGTCTCACCCTGGCTAGGGACGAACTGTAGTCCGGGGATAGCATTCCCTGGCGTACCAGGGGCAGACCCTTTCCTGTCTTTAAAACACACAGCATTTTAAAGTTCGCAGGGCACAGGCCCAGTGCAGTGGCTCATGCCTATAATCCCAGCACTTTGGGAGGCCGAGGTGGGTGGATTGATTGAGGTCAGGAGTTTAAGACCAGCCTGACCAACCACATCTCTACCAAAAAATACAAAAATTAGCTGGGTATGGTGGCACACACCTATAATCCCAGCTACTCCAGAGGCTGAGGCAGGAGAATTGCTTGAACCTGGGAGGCGCAGGCTGCAGTGACCCACGATCGAGCCACTGCACTCCAGCCTAGGCAGCAAAGTCAGATTGTCTCAAAAAAGAAAGATTTTGGGGCTTGGCCAGGCAGGGTGGCTGATGCTTATAATCCCAGCGCTTTGGGAGGCCAAGGCGGGTGGACCACCTGAGGTCAGGAGTTTGAGACCAGCCTGGCCAACATGGTGAAACCCCCATCTCTACCAAAACTCAAAAATTTAGCTAGCCGAGATGGCGGGTGCCTGTAATCCCAGTTACTCTGGAGGCTGAGGCAGGAGAATCGCTTGAACTCAGGAGGCAGAGGTTGCAGTGAGCCGAGATCACGCCACTGCACTCCAGCCTGGGCGAGAGAGCAAGACTCCATCTCCAAAAATAACATCCAGGTTCGGTGGCTCACGCCTGTAATCCCAGCACTTTGGGAGGCTGAGGCGAGTGGATTGCTTAAGGCCAGGAGGAGTTCGAGAGCAGCCTGACCAATGTGGTGAGACCCCGTCTCTACCAAAAACACAAAAAGTAGCTGGGCATGGTGGTGCATACCTGTAATCCCCCGTACTCAGGAGGCTGAGGCAGGAGAATCTCCTGGAGGCAGAGGTGGCAACAAGCCGAGACCATGCCACTGCACTCCAGCCCGGGCGACAGAGTGAGACTGTCTCAGTCAATCAGTAACATTTTCTGTGGTTATTCTTAGAAACCTCCAGACAGGCTGAGCGCGGTGGCTCACACCTGTAATCCCAGCACTTTGGGAGGCCGAGGTGGGTGGATCACCTGAGGTCAGCAGTTCAAGACCAGCCTGGCCATCATGGTGAAACCCCATCTTGAAAAAAAATTTTTTATTAAAAAAAAAAAAACCTCCAGACAACACGATGTCTCTGCCCCCCATCTAAGGCCTACATGGACTTGGGGCACGCCACCTGTGACCCCAAGAAGACAGCCTACAGCGTTTTGTTGGCTATTTTTCCAGTTCGGCATTTTCCTCGTAAATAAACAGCGCTTGACGAGGTCACGTATGCTGGCTTCTGTCCTCGGAGGGTGCAGGCAGCCCTGACATCCCTCTTCCCAGGGCAGTCTGCCCCCAGACATGCCAAAAAGTCACTGGCTCCATGCAAGCGCCCCAGGCTGTGTACTGGGAGGACCTGCTGAAGTATTCGATTTATGAGGCTGGAGTCACAGACCTGTGGAATTCTCCCGGGATGGGACCAGCCTGGCCCTGGGACAGACACACACTTCCTTCTCCCTCTACAACAACCGCTCTGGGGTGGGGCAAGTGGAAAGGTCATCAAATGAAATGAGGCCAGGTTGTCACCCTCCTGTGTCCTCATCGCTGCCACCCCCACTCAGTGTGCACGTCGCACCCCAGACGAAATGTGCGTTTCCTAGTTTCAGCAGAATTTCCCCGTTTAAAACTTTTTTTTTTTTGAGATGGTGTTTTGTTCTGTTGCCCAGGCTGGAGTGCAGTGGCTCAATCTCGGCTCACTGCAGCCTCTGCCTCCGGGGTTCCAGTGATTCTCCTGCCTCAGCCTCCTGAGTAGCTGGGATTACAGATGCACGCCACCACATCTGGCTAATTTTTGTATTTTCAGTAGAGACGGGGTTTTACCATGTTGTCCAGGCTGGTCTCGAACTCCTGACCTCAGGTGATCCGCCCACCTCAGCCTCCCAAAGTGCTGGGATTACAAGTGTGAACCACCGCGCCCAGCCTAAAGCATTTTAAATAGAAAAGGTCAGTTGTACTGGCTCACACCTGTAATGCCAGCACTTCGGGAGGCCAAGGCGGGCAGATCACAACGTCAGGAATTCAAGACCAGCCTGACCAATATGATGAAACCCCGACTCTACTAAAAATATAAAAATTAGCTGGGCGTAGTGGCGCATGCCTGTAATCCCAGCTACTCGAGAAGCTGAGGCAGGAGAATCACTTGAACCCAGGAGGTGGAGGTTGCAGAGAGCCTAGATGTCACCACTGCACTCCAGCCTGGTGATAGAGCGAGACTCCATCTCAAGATAAATAAATAAATAAATACTGGTCGGCCGAGGTGGCTCAGCTCACCCCTGTAATCCCAGCGGCCAAGGTGGGCAGATCATTGGAGGCCAGAAGTTCAAGACCAGCCTGGCCAACGTGGTGAAACCCCGTCGCTACGAAAATTACAGAAATTAGCTAGGCATGGTGGGGAGTGCCCATAATCTCAGCTACTCAGGAGGCTGAGGCCGGAGAATTGCTTGAACCTGGGAGGTGGAGGTTGCAGAGAGCCAAGATCAGGCCAGTGCACTCAACCCTGGGCGACAGAGGGAGATTCCATCTCAAATAAATAAATACATAAATGGGAGACTCCACTTCAATAAATAAATAAGTATATAAATAAAATAGAAAAAAGAACAGATGATTTGATAGTATATTTAACCCCACAGAGCCAAATCTTACCATCTCACCTTGGAATCAACATGAAGAATTTAGGTTTCTTTCTGGGGGGATGCAAAGCTTGAGAATCTTGTCTGCCAGGGACTGCCTGGCCAGCACAGGCCTAAGTCATTTCTGTCCCGTCCCAGACGGTCATCTAGTTCACGGGATCTCAGCAGGAACAATTCTGTCCCCTCACCCAGGGGAGGCTTGGGAACTCCCAGACACAGATTTCACCCAGCACCCTGCGGTGTCCCGGGCGGCCCCACCCTGGAGAACCATGCAGCCCCGATGTCCACAGTTCAGGGTGGAGGCAAGGGCTGTCAGGCCGGCCTCCCTGGAGCCACGGGGGTTTCCTGCGTGCAGAGCCTGGAGGTGGGGCAGGCAGGGGACAGCTCCATCCGGGGTGGGGACACGGTGGGGCTGCACAGAAAGAACCTTCTAGAAGGTGGGCAGTCTGGGGCCACGTGGCAGGGGGTGGAGGTGTGTGACCCGCAGGAAGCGTCAGGTCCTGTGGGGCGGGCGGAACTCAGCCTCCTGGGGGCCCTGGGCTCCAGGGCAGGTTAGGGAGAGTTCAGAGGAAGCTGTCACAGCATTTCCCAGAAAGCAGGGGTCTGAGGAGGAGTGGGAGGGAGGGAGGAAGGGGAAGGTACCCAGCTCAAAGCGAAAGCAGCAGCAGGCGGCCTGAGGCCCCACCCCTCCCTCCGGTTCCTGGCCTCTGAGCTGACCAGGTGTGCGGGGGCCGGGGCCTCCAGGCCGCACCTGGAGCAACAGGCCAGGTGGGTTGAGGGCGGCGCAGGAATTTTACCTGTTCGGCAGTCCCTGGCGGGCGGGCAAGGCTGGGCCCAGTGGCGACCTGGAGCTGGAGGCCCAGTCTCGGGTTTCTGCCGGGCTTCCCCTGGGAAAGAGAGAGGCCTGCAGAGAGGCCCCCCCGCCCCCCACAGGGCAGCACAGGTGAGGACCCACCCCCAGCTGGGACTCTGCCACCAGCTCTCTCCCCGCCCACCAGTGACTAAACAGCAGCGCCTCAGGTCATCCGGGCCTCCTGTGTCGTTTAGGTTTTGTTTGAGGCAGGGTCTCACTCTGTCGCCCTGGCTGGAGTGCAGTGGCGCCATGACAGCTCACTTCAGCCTCCGCCTCCAGGGTTCAAGTGATCCTCCTGCCTCAACCTCCTGCGTAGAGTAACTGGGACTGCAGTCGCCTGCCACCATGTCCAGCTAATTTTTAAAAACTTTCTCATAGAGATGGGGTCTCACCACATTGCCCAGGCTGGCCTGGAACTCCTGGCCCCAAGCACTCACCCCCCTCCTAACACACAGGCGTGACCCACTTTGGCTGCAGACCTGACGATATTGCTGCTGGCCTTGGGCCTATGACCTTGGGGAAGGTAGAATCCCCTCTGAGAGACTCGGTTCCCCCATATGCAAAGGAACTCATCGTAGCCCCGGCGAGGTGGCTCACGCCTGTAATCCCAGTACTTTGTGAGGCCGAGGCGGGTGGATCACCTGAGGTCAGGGATCGCTTCTGCAGCAGAGTCCTGCTCAGGGTGACTAGAGCCTCCCCAGGGAAGATATGGACGATCCTGTGGTCCCACCGCGCTGCTCTCTCTAACAGGAGTCTGCCTTCACAACCCACAAATATTTGGGGGTCTTGTACAGCGCCCTCTGGGACCCTAAAAGATAAGAGTTCAGGGCCAGGCACGGCAGCTCAGGCCTGTAATCCCAGCATGAAAGGCTGAGGCAGGTTCACCACAAGGTCAACAGTTCAAGACCGGCCAGGCGCGGTAGCTCACGCCTGTAATCCTAGCACTTTGGGAGGCCGAGGTGGGTGGGTCACCTGAGGTCAGGAGTTCAAGACCAGCCTGGCCATCAGGGTGAAACCCCATCTTTAAAAAAAAAAAGAAAAAGGAAAAAAAGAGTTCAAGACCAGCCTGGCCAACATGGTGAAACTCCCACGCGATCACATCATTGCACTCCAGCATGGGTGACAAAGCAAGACTCCCTCTCAATAAATAAATAAATAAAAATAAAAATAAGGCCAGGCAGGGTGGCTCACGCCTGTAATCCCAGCACTTTGGGAGGCTGAGGTGAGAAGATCACCTGAGGTCAGGAGTTTGAGACCAGCCTGACCAACATGGCGAAACCCCATCTCTACTAAAAATACAAAATTAGCCTGGCGTGGTGTCACATGCCTATAATCCCAGCTATTCGGGAGGCTGACACAGGAGAATTGCGTGAACCCAGGAGGCAGAGGTCCCAGTGAGCTGAAATCGCGCCATTGCACTGCAGTCTGGACAACAAGAGCGAAACTCTGTCTCAAAAAAAAAAACAAAAATAAAAAACACTGAGGCTGGGTGAGGTGGCTCAGGCCTATAACCCTAGCGCATATTGGGAGGCTGAACCTGGCAGATTGCCTGAACTCGGAGTTCAAGACCAGCCTGGGCAACATGGTGAAACCCTGCCTCTAGTAAAATACAAAAGTTAGCCAGGCGTGGTGGTGGGCACCTGTAGTCCAAGCTACTGGGAAGGCGGAGGCACGAGAAGCAGTTGAACCTGGGAAGCAGAAGCTGCAGACGCTGCGGTGAGCTGAGATCGCACTGCCCTCCTGAAAAGAAGAAAAACAGCCCCACTGAGCTGTATACTCTAAATGGGAGAATGGTATGTGAATCATATCTCAATGAAGCTGTTGGCCAGGTGCAGCGGCTCACGCCTGTAACCCCAGCTATTCGGGAGGCTGAGGTAGAGAGAGGCAGAGGTTGCAGTGAGCCGAGATCGCACCCTGCGCTGCAGCCTGGGCAACAGAGCAAGGCTCCTCCATCTCAAAAAATAGATAAATAAATAAAACTGTTTAAAAAAAACAAACAAACAAACTACCACCCTCTCACATTTTGACAGGCTAACCGCCTATCTCTACCGAGATATGTTACTGATGTTGACACGCAAATGCTCACTCCCCTATCCTGTCTGACCAGCATCAAGCACCTGCCTCACCTTGACTGGGCCCTGTGTGGGTGCTGGGGACAGGGAGGTCAGTGGGTCCCAGTCCCTGCTCTTGAGTGAGTGGCTCAAACCCCCAGGCCCCCACCAAGCAGGAAGGACCTGAATGGGGTCCTTCCTGTTTGGTGGAGATGGAGGTGGAGGTAGGGCAGGGAGGAGGCCATGCCCAGCTGAATTTCCAGTCTGGATCTGCGAGAGGACAGAGCTCCAGGCACCACTGGGAGTTCGGGGGACAGTGGCTCCGGACTCAGGCAGCCCGGAGCCTCCTTCCCCGTGGTTTCTTGGCCAAGGGTCTCTCCCTGGCCGAAGGAGCCTCGGACATCCTGTTCTGCCTGGGGCTTTGCCCTGCCCCCTCCCTTGGGATCATTATGGGATGGTCCTCGGTGCCGGTGCTGGAAGAGCCTTTCTCAGTGGAAGAGCATTTCCCACTGCCGGATGGGGTGTACGTGATTCTTAGCCCCACTTTTGGGTAACTGGAGGGTCTGGGAAAGGAGGCTCAGAGCTGGTAGGACGCTGCATTGCTTCTCCCACCCAAGGTCGCACAGGGAGAGCTTGACCTTGACCCCCTGACCTTGACTTCCAGGATCCCTCCCCCAGGCCAGAAGAAGAGCAGCAGGTGGTGGCTTCCCCCCCCCCCCCCCCCCCGACCCCGACCTCCGACCTGAGAAAGCCACCCTTCCCAGCTCTGTCGCTCTCTCTGTCCCTCTCTCCTCTCTGTGTCCCCAGCCCTGAAAGTGAAACCCGTGATACCAAAGTGAAACCGAAGCCCCGGCCCCCGCAGCCAAGCCCAGCAGGCAGAGACGCAGAGAAGGAGAGGGGGCCTGGGGCCAGCCCACGTGGCAGGCGGGCTGGAGGGAGGACGCTGCTCTTTAAATTGCGGTGATTTAAAAAAAAAAAGAACAAACCCAGAAGGTCTGGCTGGACCAGAACCGCAGCCACGTTCTCCCCTCCCACGGCCCCTGCCCTCACTCCTGAAGTCTGGAGTCTTCAGCCCCACACTGGTTGTGGCATGTTGAGGATTCTGCACGACTGGGGGCTGGGGTAGAGGACAGACTGGCCTTGTGCATTGTGGAGGCGGGTCTCCTGGGGTGAGGCTGACCCCTGGGGTTCATCTCCAGGATCCAGGAATCACCCTAAAGTGTGTAAAGCCAGGGGCTAGGGTCCCCAACCTTATCTCAGAGTCAGACTGTCCAATGTCACCCATTGGACAAGGGGGTGCAACCTCCACCTCCCAGGTTCAAGTGATTCCCTAGATCGACCCCAGGGCAGTGGTGGGATGGCTGAAGTCCCTTGTCCAGAGACCACTGACTGGTGGCTTTTTTCTCTGCAGAGCACAGAGACGGAAGAAGTGTGCAGGTGCATTCTACAGCAAGCAAGACAGGCTAGGGTTTCAGCCCCTCGGCACCCACCGTGGACGCAATAGGGCTGGATTGATCTCTGGGATGGGTCTGTCCTGGGCTCTGCAGGGTGCTGAGCAGTGTCTCTGGCCTCCACCCACCCCCTCCCCAATCACAACACCTAAACACATCTCCGGCTATCACCCAGTGACCCCTGGAAGGAGGCAGAGTGACCCCAGATGAGACCTCCTGGGCTAAATGGGTTCAAGCGATCCTCCTCCCTCAGCCTCCCAAGTAGCTGGAATTACAGAGGGAGAGACCCAGCACTGAGCCATGACCCAGGAGTTCAAAGCCAAAGGCCCCGGGCTTTGGAGTTCTGTGGCCAGGTCCTGAGAGGTGCCTGGGAGGCAGCCAGCCGGTCTGCAAGAGAGGGGACGGGGCAAGAGGCTGCCACGCAGGTGCAGAGAGGCGCCTGGGCTGGGTGAAGATGGGACAGACAGACCCATTGCACAGGAGGGAATACTGAAAGGTGGGGTGGAGGGCATCCCAGTCCCAGCATAGCTACCACAGTTTCTGCCTTCTGGAACAAATCAAAATGGCCTCTTAGCCAACCAGGTGAAAATATCCAGGCATCCTCTCCCCAACCACTATGAATTCAGAGCTGTGGAGCGGTTAGCAGCTCAGAAAGTATTTATCCTAGACTGGGTGTGATGGCTCAAGCCTGTGATCCCTGCATTTTGGGAGGCCGAGGCAGGCGGATCACCCCAGCTCAGGTGTTCAGCACCAGCATGGCCAACATGATGGGACCTCATCTGTAGTAAAAATGCAAAACTGAGCCAGGCGTGGTGGCGCACACCTGTATTGCCAGTTGCTCAGGAGGCTAAGACAGGAGGATCGCTTGAATCTGGGAAGCGGAGCCAAGATCACACCACTGCACTCCAGCCTGGGTGACAGAGTGAGACTCCATCTCAAAAAGCGAAATGAAATAAAAAATAAATGAATACATTGAGATACAATCCACATACCAGAATATGCACTCTTTATGTATGTATATATGTATTAATCTTTTTTTTTTTTTTTAATTTTAAGATGGGGGTTTCACCAAGTTGGCCAGGCTGGTCTTGAACTCCTGACCTCAGGTGATCCAGCCACCTTGGCCTCCCAGAGTGCTAGGATTACAGGCGTGAGCCATCGTGCCCAGCCTTTTTTTTTTTTCTTTTTGAGATGGTTTCCCTCTTGTTCCAGGCTGGAGCGCAATGGTGCAATCTCAGCTCACTGCAACCTCCGCCTCCCGGGTTCAAGGGATTCTCCTGCCTCAGCCTCCCGAGTAGCTGGGATTACAGGCACGCGCCACCATGCCCGGCTAATTTTGTATTTTTAGTACAGACAAGTTCTCTCCATGTTGATCAACCTGGTCTCAAACTCCTGACCTCAGGTGATCCTCCCCGCTCAGCCTCCCAAAGTGCTGGAGTTACAGGTGTGAGCAACTGCGCCCAGCCTTATTTATTGATTGATTTTATTTGAAATGGAGTCTCACTCTGTCACCCAGGCTGGAGCGCAGAGGCACAATCTCGGCTCACTGCAACCTCTGCCTCCCGGGTTCAAGCAATTCTCCTGCCTCAGCCTCCCAGGTAGCTGGGATTACAGGCACCGGCCAGCACGCCAGGCTGATTTTTGTATTTTTAGTACACAAATCAGCATGTCCTCATGTTGGCTAGGCTGGACTTGAACTCCTGATGTCAGGTAACTCCACCCGCCTCGGCCTCCCAAAGTGGTGGGATTACAGGCGGGAGGGAGCCTGCCCTCTTTAAAGGATACGACTCGGTCATTTTTAATACATTCACAGAGTTTCTCAACTATCACCACTATCTAGTTTCAGAACCCAACACCCCGAAAAGGAAGCCCCATCCCCATCAGCAGTCACGACCCATCCCCCTTTCAGCCCCGGCACCCACCCATCCCCTTCCTGTCTCTGCGGCTTGGCTTGTCCTGGACATTTCATAGAAATGGGATCACACGCCGTGTGGCTTTTTGTGTCTGGTTTCTCTCACTGGGTGTGAGGTCCTCAGGGTTCATCCACGCAGTGGCCTGAGTCACAGTCTCCTGCCTCCTTCCTTTTCATGCCTGAATCCAGGACACTCTGAATAAAGTCCACAGCTGTACCATGGCCCACAGGTCCCCACTGCCCTCTGTCTCCCAACTGCAGTCACTCTGGAAACCCTGGCTGTTCCCCTCACCTAGGAAATACACACAGGTCTTCATCTGATTCTATGTTCATTCAGATCTCTGGTGGAGTCCACTTTGGGAGGCCAACATGGGTGGATCACATGAGGTCAGGAGTTCGAGACCAGCCTGCCTGGCCTGGCCAACAATGTGAAACCCCACCTCTACTAAAAATACAAAAAGTAGTAGGCTGGCATGGTGGCAGGAGCCTGTAATCCCAGCTACTCAGAAGGCTAAGGCAGGAGAATCTCTTGAACCTGGGAGGCAGAGTTTGCAGTGAGCCGAGATTGCACCACTGCACTCCAGCCTGGGTGACAGAGCGAGATTCTGTCTCAAAAAAAAAGAAAAAAGATCTCTGCTCAGACATTACTTCCTTTGAAGAAATCATCTTCATGCACATTTTTTTTTAAAGAG